CTAGCAGCAAGGCAGATTTTGTAAAGTGCATTATAGTGGTCCCTGTGGAGTCATGAGTTAGAGAAAAGCATCCCTCCCCTCCTTCTCCAAGGGTATAGCACCCAGCTAGCCCAGAGCAGGCTGGGTTCACTCCCAGTTCACTCCCTGGTGGCCACCTTTGCCCAGTACATACACTGCACAAACACAGGCAGTACATACACTGCACAAACCAGGGCTGGTTGGGAACATTCTCTAAAATCAAGCACACAGTCAGTGCTCACTCTGACCATCTGAAATGACACACCTTGTAGAATTTGACATCCTTGAGGTACACATTTAATAGCAGATACAGATTTTTACCTGAAGGGGTCTATGATCTGATTGACATCATATTTTCACTCTGACGCTCAGTACACTGTAGCTAGAAAGTGGCAAACTGAACAGTGATAATGTGTGATACCAAATGCATGTCTGTGACCCTTCATTCATATATTAAAACCCTGACATGAGATGGCATTATGGGATAGAGGTTTTGAATGTACAGTCCCATGGTGGGAACAATGCCCTGGTAAGAAGATAAAGAGGCTGGTCTTTGTTCTATTGGTCATGTGTAAGCAGAGAGGGATGCTTACTATATTCAAGTCTAGAAGGAGTCTCAGTATTTAGAATCAAAAGAAATATCTGTTATTTAAACTGCCTAGTCTATGGTATTCTGTTGTGGCAGCTGGAGCTTAGACAGTGTAGTTCTGGAAGCTGATTACTGGCTATTTAGCATTGTTTGTTCTATTTTGTTTGTTCTGAGAACTCGATTGAGAGGACTACATGGCTCTGTACTACGACACTCTTAAATTTTTTATTAGTTTCTATTTTTATGTGTATGAGTGTTTTGCCTGTATGCATGTAAGTGCACCCATGTGTGCAATGCCTTTGGAGGCCAGAAGAGGGTGTTGTAAAACCTGAAACTGGAGATATGGATGGTTGTTAGCCTCCATGTGGATCCTGGGAACATCCACATGGAAATGCAATGTCCTCTCTAAGAGCAGCCAGTGCTCTTAACCCCTGAGCCATCTGTCTAGCCCCAGCCATGCCCATTTGATCTTGAAGTCCTCTTGTCCCCAAATGACTAGGGGATGCTGTGACTCCCACTGTACATGTCTTAACATTTGTGATTTGGATGATACAATATGATCTAGGTGAATGTTCAGAGACAATCTTCTGTGAGCCAAAAAATTGCAATCATGGCCTGTTGCCTTGCAGAGATGGCCCTCAATAGATAGCAAGTTCTGCATTTTGCAAATGCTTGAGATTATAGTTTTATTTTTTTAAAAGGCATATTGGTTGTACCCAGGAGGCAAAGCAGAAATGTGAAAGGTTCAAGGGTTTGGTTACCTGGTTTCCACTCTGTACTAACTTAAAGAGATTTTTCAAAAACGGTGTAGATGTTCAGGGTGAAGTGAATCCTTTTAGATCCCTTCCCAGTAGAAGACTCATTTGGACCTTTCCTATATCTATAAATATGAATGAGCAACAAGAAATTTTCTCTAGGCAACCTCAGTCTAATTCCTGACCCCGTGTCTTTGTCTCCTGCACTTGAAGAAGAATCCGGACGTGCCTTCTTCTTCAGCATAGGTATGATATTGTTTTAGTTTGCTTCTATATTGCTGTGATAAACACCATGACCAAAACAAACTTGGGGAGGAAAGGGTTTATTTGGCTTACAGCTTACAGTCCATTATCAAGGGAGGCCAAGGCAGGAACCAGGAGGCAGGAGTCAAAGTATAGACCACAGAGGAACTCTTCTCACTGGCTTGCTCTCTTGGCCTGTGCTCAGCCTGATTTTTTTATGCAACTCGAAACCACCTGCCTGGGGGTGGCACCACCACAGTGGGCCGAGCCCTCCCACATCACTCAACAATCAAGAAAATGACTCACAGACATACCCATGGGTCAGTCTAATAGACAAAATTCCTCAAATGAGAGTCCCTCTTTCCAGGTGTCAAGTTGAAATGGAAGCTATCCAGCACAGATACCCACTGAAGCTGGCTCCAATCATCAGGGAGTTTAGCAGAAAGGAGTCCTTGACCAAACCAGAGATTTAATCAAGACCAGAAACTTGGAAGGAGTTAATTACAAGTGATCATTTGGGGCTGGGGAGATGGCTCAGCAGTTAAAAATACTGGTTTTTCTTGCAGAAGACCTGGGTTCGAATCCCAACACCCACAGTGGCAGCTAACAACTACCTGTAACTCCAGTTCCAGGGGATCTGACGGCTTCCTCTGTCCTAGTGGGCATTGCATGATACAGGTGCACTTACCTACATGTAGGCAATCCACTCATACACATAAAATAAAAATAATAAATAAACTATTTTTAAAAACAAGTGATCATTTTATAGAATTGTGTTTCATGTAATACAGTTTCACTTGAATCAAAGAGAAAGAGCCCTGAGACAGTGACTGGAAGATTTAGGGGCACTGCTCAGTGTAGTCTATTGAATCTGTAATGTGTAAGTTTCCAAGAAGCTTCATAAATAAGGTCGGTCTGTGTCCCATATGTTTGAAAGAAACCATAATCCATGCTAACTAAATTTATGGGGGAAAACCACTGAATTTTGGAGCCACATTTGGGTAGACACATTTCAGATGCAGGAATTTTAATTTCCAGAGGATTATTTGTCCAGTGCAGTCTGCTGTCATAAATAGCAGACAGTGCCATGGTGGCTGGTGAGAGAGTGATAGCTTTGGAAAGCCCTGCCTTCATCTTTTCCAAAGCTCCCTTATCAAAATTAATTTATGTAGTTATTATCTTCATGCTAAACTGAAAACAAGTCACATGTAAAATAAAAGTAGAATGACTAATGCTAATTAGAAAAAGAAAAGCAACTCCATCTCTCACTTTCGGTATGTTCTACATCTACAAGTCTGACTGCCACTAATTTAAAACATTATGCATGTCCTCAGGGAAAAGCTGAGCAGCAGTGAATTGGAATAGGACTGAGATGATGCCTTTTGTGTACTGTAACACTTCTAAATCATTGCTTCCAGAAAAAAATCACAGAGAATTTTAATATTCATAAAGATTAGAAACAGGCGTTTGAACAGAGCTCCAGCCACCTTTGACAGGAGCACAATGGTTTGTCTGAAAGGGTCTTCATTTCCTCTGTCACTCACTGGCAGGACTCAGAACATCAAAACAGTTAGACTCCCGAGCTTTCACTACCTGTTTCAAAGAATTACACTTGACATTTCTAATTTTTTCTCAGTCGTTAAACTCTGTCCTCCCCCTTTAAAATGGCATGATTTTGTTAGCAAATCAAAGCGGGCAGGAGAATACATTAGTGCTCCCTCCATGTGGACTCTGGGCTGACCTCGGTGCTTTTTATGTCTACCGCTAGACCACACAAGCTATTTTTGCTTCATCATTTATCCTGTTTGTTTACCTCAGAAGAATGCTATTTAGCCAGATAGAGGTAAGTAACAAATTGTGGCTTAGGTCTGTGCTATCTTGGTGATATGAGATGCTGTATCTTTCTCTGACCCAGTTTCCTTGTCTCTGTATAGGGATAAAAATGAGAAAATGCTCAGTCCTTTATGGAGGCAGAGACCCTAAGATCCACACTGGATCACACAGGGAGGCCAGCACATAGTTCCAAGTACTGAGTTATATTGGTGTTATTTAGATAGGCTTTGGGAGATAACACGAGGCTATTGTCACTGCTTGACTCCTGTGTGACTTTTGGATCCTCAGTTTCCTCATTGGTTAAATAAACCATTTAAATGCTCTGTCTGGGTTTCTGTCCAGAGCTAAACACCTGTAACATAGTTGATCTGTAATATGTCAAAATTGGCAAGGATGGGATCAGAATAAATAATAAAGTGAGACCTTTACCCACAGAATCTTAAGTCTTTAAACACATTCCTTGCTTTCCCCTTGCCTTTTCATGTGTGTGTGTGTGTGTGTGTGTGTGTGTGTGTGTGTGTGTACATATTTATGTGTGAGCCAGTGCATATGGGGAAGGGCCATATATATATGCACACTCATCGAGGCCAGAGATCTGTCATTCCTTAAACACTGTCAGCCTCATTTTTTGAGACAGGTGTCTCTCATTAGCCAGGAACTCACCAAGCAGGCCAGGCCAGCTAGGCAGCAAGCACCAGAGATCTCTGACTCCCTAGCACTGGGAGAAGCATGTGACATCATGCCTGGCTTTTTTACATGTGTTCTAGGGATCAAACTCAGGTCCCCATGCTTGCACAGCAAGCACTTCACTAACTGAGCTGTCTTCCCAGTCCCATTTTCTTTTTTGAAAGGGGCAGAATTACTATTCTGGTTTGATATAGATACATTTTATATATATATTTTTTCATTAGATCAATCATGTCAATTACTGTGAGAAAGGAGAATAAAGAGCCTAAGAAGTAAAGCCTTGGGTGTCAAGGTGACTTTTATGTGAAGCCAGACCAGCCATGTGAAATTCTATCTTTTAATAAAAAGTTTTACCTTTTTGCCCAAAGACAGGAAAGCGGAGTGGGGAGAAGGTGGAGAGTACAGCCTGAGATTGTTAGGATCCTATTGTAGGAGCCACACAAGTCGCATTTTTTTAAAGTCAATGGTAATTAAATTTATGTTCCCCTTTAAAAAATTCCAGCCATCTCCCTATCCAATTTACCAGTGACACTTTTTTCTGTGTCCTCAACCCCCAATCTGACAGCCAAGTCTGAACTGAATGAATACTTCTAAATTTGGTACAATGATTTGAGGGAGATTTTCAAAGTCTGTAAGAAATTTACCTTGACTTGACATTTAAATTGGAGATATGGTAATATAAAAATTTAAAGTAATCATCATCATAGAACCTCATATCTTTATATCACAAGGTTTTCTCCTCTTGTATGACATGGTCAATGGAAAAAAAAAACTTTCATTTCTTATCATTCTTAGTATGCATTTAAAACTCACTTTAAATATCACCCAAGAACTTAAATTCCCAAAATAAGTGTGAAACAAGTTCTCAAACTTACAAAGTGACCTTCTGAAAGGGTCCTCCAGTCACCAGAAAATATTTCCATACAGCTGCTGATATGCCTGTGAGCACGAGAGAGAGACAGAGAGAGAGAGAGAGAGAGAGGTTTATAAATTATTTTGACTCAAAATCCCCAAAGTAGAAACATGCTCGCACACATCTCCAGCCTGTTACTTATAAACTAGCACCTCAGGACAGAAGGATATTGGAGTACTATTGAATCCACTTTCTCAGCTACCACCTGTGAATTATAGCTGGCAGCAGGAGTTTTATGATGCTATTGTAAAAGTAATGTACCTCTTAAATGGCAATTTACTGAGTTGCTGATGAAACGCATTACAAATATGTTAGTTTCAGGGTGGTTAGGAAAATTAACCGCAGATATTTTCCATATTGTCACATATAGTCAACATGCAAAGGGTGTAAGGAGCAGCTTTCTTCAAAGCTGTTTAAAGGTAGCACATGGCCAGGAGTCACTCCAGAAGAGGTTGATAAGGCCAAGGCTTTAGGGAAATCATTTGAGACTATGCTTTTAGAAGGTGTCTTATCAGCAATATCCCCAAACTCTTAACCCTTTCTCTTGAGCCTCAAACATATCATGAGGCTTTCTGTCCAATTTTCTAACCTGTCCAGTTGGCCCCCACACCTGCTCCTCTGCCTGGTCTGATAACGGAGAGTAGTAGGCTATCATGAGAGCCCAAATTACACTCTGAAGAGACCCATCTGTCTGGAGCCACAAGATAATCACGTGAAAGAGAGACTCAAAGGGAGAGATGACAGAACATAAGAAGCAGGTGCCTCATTAAGATTGTACTGTCTTATCCTTAGAGGCCTGTGCTTGGTGACGTGACCTCTCAGATCTCTTTCCTGTTAGCAGACATTTGCACATGGTACTACAGTTTAAAATGCAGCTCAGATCCTTTATTTCATCTGACCTTCACAGACCCCCCCCCCGAAAAAAGGAAGGTGTTATCTAAACTTTAAGATGAATTAACAAACACTGATGGACGTCAGTGATTTGCTCAGTCATCCAGCTACCAAAGAGTGAAGTTAGGTTTGAACTCAAATTTCACTCCAAGCCCATTATAAAACCAAATTTTGACCAGGTTAGGAACACAGAGGAGATGCTTTGAACTCAAAGAACTGACTTAAATATACAGAGTAGTATAAGTGATTTGCAGAATATTTAATACAGGGCAAAGACTGAGGATATAGCTTTATGGTTGAACATTTGCCAAGCACGTGTGAGGCCCTGGGTTCAATTTCTAGTACCACAAAATTAAATAAATAAAAGCAACATTCTACAAGTTTAATGTCAAGGAAAGACTCTCCAATCCTACAGCAAGGATGGAAAATAATTTGCAATTTGCGCTTTACAGCCACAGATGCTGAAGCTGTTTACCAGCTCAGCAGAAAAGAGTGCAGTGATCCATTAACAATGCCTGCCATGGGTACAAAAGGGAGCTAGTGGCAGCACATGTATTTGCTCTTCTTATACTTCAGGAACTGTTTCTAAAACATTCTTGAGTTTTATGGTAAGAAGTCTCATGGTCCAATAAACTGGCAGGTCTCTGGTAAGCTTTAGTCAGTGCTAAACACTGTACTTGGCACCATGAATGAGTACCAAGAATGTAAGAGAAAGTCTTCACCTATATAATTTACAATCCAATTTGGAAAATAAGCAAAATGTGCAGCACCCCTTTTGCATGTTCATCCTTTGGCACTGATTGTAAATACTGTGAAGAACTCTATAGGGCCAAATAACACACAAGAAGGAGATCATCTTTTGAGAGGAATATCAAGTCCTGTGTTGCTGGAGCACTGTGTATCTTCCATTGACTTCACACCATGAGGAAATATTTTACAGTGATCATTTAGAGCCCAAAAGAGATGAAATAATCACTACTGAAATTATTTACCTGAAAAAAATGCTCATATGTGTATTTAACAAGTATCCTAACTCTGTAATTGTTATGAATCTTGTTATAGTAAGAATGGACAGGAAATCACAGATGTCCTGTAATATCCTCTGTTCCTAATAGAAGTTTAAAAAAATATGATAAAACTGCAAAGTACACTACCAGCTTCCTGAGGGAGATTGGATTACAATTCCCCTGCAAATAAAATGATAGGAAAGTTGGTACTATCTTCAGTATAATCTGGAAATGAAGTTGGGTGGAGGTAGGGGAGGGGGATTTGCAGGTGAAAAGATTAACCATGAGTTCATAGTAGATGAAGATAGAATTTATTTTATTATTCTCACTACTTTTAAATATGCTTGATATTTTCCATTTAAAATGTTTTTCAAATCCCTCTTAACAACCTGTGAATTGGGTTAGGAAGATGGCTCAGTAGGTGAGATTATGAGGCTCTGAGTTCAAATCCCTAGTACCCACAAGAAAAACCGGAAGTGACATGCATACCTGTAGCCCCAGTGCTATGGGGGGCAGTGCCAAGAAGATCACTGAGTGCCAGGAAGATCACTGGGTCCTGCTGACCACTAGCCTGGCTCTTGGTCAATAAGAGATCCTGTCTCAAAAGCATAAGGCAGATAGGGCTGAAGAGATAGCTCAGTGGTTAAGAGCACTGGCTGTTCTTGCAGAGAACAAAAGTCAAGTTCAGTTTCCAGCATACACATGGCATCTAACAAATATCTGTAATTCCAGATCCAGAGGATCTGATGCCCTCTTTTGGGTTCCACCAGCATTGCACATACATGGTGCACCCACATACATGCAGGCAAAACACTCATACAAGTAAAATAAAAATAAATAATAAAAAAGAATAAATAAGGCAGAGAATGAGGGAGCAGAACATGTTATGCCTCTTCTGGCTTCTGTG